TCTCCCCTTTCACACCCCACTTCCCCGGTCCCATCCGTCCATTTCTCCTGCCCCTTTCTGCCTTCTCGGCATTGCTTTCGGGCAGGTATTGCCCTTTTGGTCTCGTATACGTGATTGAACTAAGAAGCGCGTTCCTCACTTGTGTTGTTGCTTGTTTTATAAGTCTGTCTCACCTTTGGCTGAAGGGTGAATTTCGGGAGGCACATGCTTTTTTAAAATGCACTCGTTCTTTTCTTTTCTGTTGGGTGCCTTCTGCCCATCTTTTCTTCCCTTAACCTATATACCTGCACCAGCCGTAACTCTGCGTCCATTTGTGTGCACACACACACAAACACCTCACACATGTAAGGATTTTAAAGTCTTTAATTTCCAACGTTGTGATCCTATTACACACACATTTCTGTGTCTTACTTTTTTCAGCAGTACTTCACTGGAACCCTTCCAAGTCAACTAGTGTGGCTGTAGTTGATTTCTTGAACGGACCACGTAACATTACATCATGTGGATGCGCTATATTTACTCAGTCATTTGCTCCCCCCATTGGGAGCCCTTCACTTTGTTTCAAAATTATTGTTGGTTCATTTTGTTTTTACTTATAGCCTTTAAAGATCATTTGAGCAAAATACTGACCTCTGAGCCTATTTTCTCACCTGTGAAATAAAGTAGTATTTTCTATTTTACAAGGCTACTTGAAAGGACAAAATAAGGTAATTTAAATGAAAATCGCTGTCACAAAATGGATACCTAACAAATGACAGATTTTTTTACAAAATCATTATTTGTGAATTATTTATGTGTGATGACTAGCCGTATTTGGTGGTTTTAAATTCTACAAATCCCTTGTTGCATCTCCCCTGAAGAGACAGAGATTAACTGGTCCTCTCTCTTGAGTGTCAGGTGAACTTAGGGACCTGTGTCTGGCGAAGATAATAAGCAGAAGCGATGAGACGTCGCTTTCAGCATTAAACCCCACTGCCATCGAGTAGATCCCGACCCATAGCAACTCTACGGGACAGGGTTTCCGAGGATCGGCTGGTGGACTCGAAACGCTGACCTTTTGGTTAGCTGTTGTATCACTTACCCACTGTGCTACTAGAGCATTGGGTTATAAAACGGCGGCGGTCTCCACTGTGCGTGTGTGCACACTCTCTCTCATTCTCTCTCTCTCTGTCCGAACTACTTGCTCTGGGGACAGCTGCCTGCCATGTTGCTAAGGCACCCACAGCAGCCTATGGCTAAGCTCGCGTGGAAGAACAGAATCTCCCAGCAATCGCAGTGAGTTTAGAAGCAGATCTTCTGAAGCCTGCCCATGGTCACGTGAGTGTGCTCAGAAGTGGATCCTTCTCTGGGAGAGCCCTGAAATGACTGCAGCCTGGAGGGAGCTGACTATACCCCCACTGGAGATCCTGAGCCAGAACCACCCAGATCAGCCACTCTCAGATCCTGGCCCCACAGAAACTGTGAGATAGTAAGTTCCTTGTTTTAAGCCACTATGTTTCAAGTAATTTTTACACAGTAACAATAAGGAATAGTTACAGGACACTATTTGATTATAATAATAATAATGTCATTTTACCTTCTTCCTTTGAATGTAGTCAGACCAGATCCATAAAACTGAGGAATTCCTAAATAATCAAGTTGCTTGAGTGCTACCCACCTTTTGACTGCAAAGACAAATTTGATATGAAAAAAGGTTTTCATTATTTACAAAACTATTTCTTACTTTTGCTTAGATGCTAAGACGTACTTATTTAACCCAAATGGCAATAAGATCTTCCTAGAAAAAACCAACAAATACAACTACCCAATGGCTTCAAAGTCTATTTATTATCACCATAATTAACACAAAACATGTACAGAATTTTTTAAATTAAATCAAATTGCAACAAAAAAAATCAGTCTTATGAAATATACTGGTTTCATATGCATAAGTGTCTATTCATGAAAAACTGATTCATTAACTTATACGCTAGCTAATTTCTAAATATAACATGCTCACTACCAAAGGATCAGAAGAGACATGTTTTTTCTTCCCTATGCCTTCAAAACCGAAAGCACTGGTAGTCTATAAAACACAGAAACTGAGCAGAAAAATCATCTCACTCTGAAACCATGTTATACAGAAATTGTTTTTGATTAAATTTAGCTTAATAATACCAAATTCACTTAAACAATCAACGAGCATATTTAATTTTACACTTCTCTACTATATATGTTTAAGACAGCTCTACTGATAAGCGATCAAGTTTAATGGATTCTATTTGTCACTCTGACACAGTTTAAGCAGTTAGTAAAGACTACAGCCTTAATGTTTACAAGGTTTTATTAAGGAAAACAAAGTTAATTATTGAGGCTAGACCATTATTCTTTTTCCTGAACATGATACAAAATATCTCTACTATAATACAGTCATTACTCAAAGCAACTTCTTGAATGTTTTTCTTAGCCAATCTATATCACATAGGATTTACAGCATGTTTTAATTCTTCTACATTTCAGCTCATATTCATTTTGTAGTCAAATCTTCTAACCTGCTATTTCTTGCATCTGATATATAGTTCAAATTAATTTCCCAATATTCAAGTTTCCAATATTTGTAACTTATTCTCTTGAACACCTTAATATTTAATCATTTCTCTACACCTTAATCCATTCTAATCTGAGATCACTCTGTTTGTTTATATACCTAGTGGCCACTTTCATGCATTTTTTCCTTACATCCTTCTTATCCAAATGGGTTCTTATAAAAGAAATAATAATTTTTCTCCTATCTTTCACACTTAGATAATTCTTCATAGCTTAGATCAACAGCCCAACATTTTATGTAAAGTAGTGGAAACAACTTTGACTTAAAATATATAATCCATTATGTATGCCATACCAAGATTTTTACACCATCTGTCTTGCTTTTATATGTTATAGCAGTTAAGTGTATCACTTTACAATAAAATTTCTTATTGAGAAGAATTTTCCAGAAGGCCAGAAAAAGACCAAAACATTAACACTTACTTTAGCGAGCACATATATGGAAGTAGCTTGCTTTGTTAATTTTACTTACTACAGTCTTTTTTTGCAGCTCTTTGATAAAATTTAAGTTCTGAAAATAATGGACCATTTTCTTGATATTCCTACAAAAAAAAGGAATAATTAATTTTACCAGGAAAGAAATAATCCTGAAGATGAAATTGATATTTCAACTGTGAATTTATGAGTAGATATATGTAATATAAAATAGCACTTGGATCATCTTTTTATAAAACACAGGCCCCAGATTTTCACTAAAAATCTCAGAAAAGCACTAAATAAACTTGAAGAATCTCATTTTAAATATATTGTGACTACTATCCCTATATGTCTTACCCAAACCAAATCCATTGCCATCGAGTCGATTCCAACGCATAGTGACCTTGTAAGACAGAGCAGAATTGCCCCAGGGGCTTTCAAGGCTGTAAATCTTGTCGGAAGCAGACTGCCACATCCTTCTCCCACAGAGTGGCTGGTGGGTTCGGACCTCCAACCTTTCAGTTAGCAGCTGAGTGCTTAACCACTGCGCCCACAGGGCTCTTCCTATATGTCTTACACATGAAAAAACTAGTCCTCTTATGGAAAGCACTTAAAGTATTGAGAATTGCATGTATGTTGCACATTGTGTACCAACAAGTATATCAAGGCAGATACATTATAAACTGCCCTGGTGGTTCACTCATACACAGTAACTTTACTGAGTGTCTGCTATACTTCACTCACTGTACTGGGCACAGGGGATACACACGGAAATTAAACTCTATCCCTGCCTTTAAGGACCTTACCATCTACAGTTAAGATAGTTATTTAATAAATAGATGGACAGACAGATAGATGATAGGTGGATAGACAGACAGATGACAGAGAGCAACATGCATGGCAATACAGAAGGACAAAGATTCTACAGTATTTGAATTTTAATAATGTGAAAAAAACATGAATTAAATTTATTAGAAATAAACAATTATAAGAATTAAGATGATGGACATTTTTTACAAAAATAAAGTGACTACAACAGAAAAGAAAAACGTCCAGTATATGTGAAATACAAATTTAAAAGCAATACTTACCACTTTTATTACATGCCTTGCATCTTCATCTGGTTTATTTGTGGGGAACGCTGCAGAAAAAAAAACAGCAGGGAAAAAACAGTTGTTTCTGATTACTGAATACTACCATATCCCAGGAAACCCTGGTGGCATAGTGGTTAAGTGCTACAGCTGTTATCCAAGAGGTCAGCAGTGTGAATCCGCCAGGTGCTCCTTGGAAACTCTATAGGGCAATGCTACTCTGTCCTACAGGGTCGCTATGAGTTGGAACAGACTCGATGGCATTAGGTTTGTTTGTTTTGTACTGTATCCCAGATACTGTGCTAAGCATTTCAACAACCTCTTAAGGAAGGTATCATCTCCATTTTACATAATATGCAACTACAGTTTAGAGACGCTGAATAACTTATACACTAAGAAAAGGCAGTTTGGGGACCAAAACTCAACTCTTTGCCACAACCACCACAGTCCATACTCTCTACCATGAGCCCTATTTAAATACCCAAACACGGAAACCAACAGACGATATTAATTAGATGGATCCAAAATGGAGGGGAAAATATTTTCTATGGCATTAAATCCAATAGACCATATATAGTTAAGTCCATTTGTTCAATTTCACCAAATTAGAATCTATGATAATTCAAAAATGAAAATTGATACATTCTGAATATAGGTTTGAAAAAATTTCTACTTGGCAGAATTCTAGAATAAACCAGGTTAAAATGAGAATTAAGTCCTAAAGAATCATATCCTGAGTCTGGTAATCATTATTCCTGCATTAAAGAATATGCATCTCATAATGTAAGTCCCTTTCAGTTTCAAGTCATTGTCTGACTTCATTTAAATTCCTATTTTCCACTTAGATTTCAGATAAGTAATCCAACTTTTGAAAATTATATTAAACATTTTTAGAACTCAATCTTTTCTTCTACATTTTCTGAATTGTTAAAAGATTGCTCTATTTTCAAATCTCAATAAGAGAAGTTTACATATATAATTGTATTGTGAAAATCTACAAGTTTGTCACTCATTCATTTATTCACTCTTCATCCATTTATTCCTTCATTCATTCAACTAGCCAATATGTATCAAGAAACTACAATAATCAAAGCATTGTGTTAAGTGTTAGGATAGGATGATGTTCTAAGAAAAGGAAAGGAAAAAACAAAAAGGTGGAGCTAGTGCTGAATACAATTAAAAATCACCATTAACAGACTGAGAACAAGATCAAATTCTTCAGGTATAGTTTCAGTATATTTAGCAAAACACCTGTGTTCTAACATTTCTTCCCCTTCCTTCTTCTAACTACATCAACCGTTATCTTTCCTCTATTAATTCACATCTTAGATGTAAACAGACACATAACAAATGTATTTAAGTATATAAATTCTATTTTCGTCTAGCCAACTCATGCACAATTATCTCTGCCATTCCCCAACATTTTTGAGGTCAGCAATACTACTGGCCAGTTTGAGAAATAACTTCAATTTTAGCTGATATTAGATATAAACTGTAGACTTCTGTACAGTAATAAAGAAACTGAACCGTATTTGAATCTACTGAAATCCTCTTTCCAACTTTATTCATGTAAAGATACCTCATTTTTCTCCCATCCAGTAGCCCCAAGGGAACTGGAAGGGGCGTGGATTATACAGAATAGGCAAGAAGAAAACTGAAGACAATACATACAGGGGAAGGGGCCCAGCCCGGGTATGGAGGAATATGTCCATGATAACGGTGCTTGAGGCTGGGAGAGAAACAGCCCTGCTCCAGCCCTGCTCCAGCCCTGCTCCAGCCCTGCTCCAGCCCTGCTCCAAACAAAGACTGCTCTAGGCAATGGTCTTTGCTTCCTGAAGTATAAACAGTTGAAACTTCATGCTTCTCGTCACAAAGTAAGTAAGCACAGCAACACATCAATCTTCAAGTCCAGTAGAAAACAATAAGCAGAAAGGCACAGAAGGAAAAGGGGGGTTTCACCTAGCCAAATAACTTATTTGTTGCTGGCGGGGGAAAAGAGATCCAACCACTCCAATGCCCTACTCCTTGTTGGTTTCAGTCGGTATATCCCTATTATTTTATAATCTGAATCCTGATTCCACATTATTCCACATAAACACAATCATGTGTTGACACACACTTGTGGATACATCCTATGTTTGTCATTTGATAGCTAAACAATATTCTCTACGAACTTCCAAGCCAGCGTACGTTGGAGGGCCTAAGCACAAAACCAACTGACTAGAAAGCTCTTACAAAGAGACGTGTTATATGAAGAAACAGACTGCATGATGTTATATGAATAAACAGACTGTCCCCCTACCATGCATGATGTGTTCTATGAATAAACAGACTGTCCCCCTACCATGCATGATGTGTTATATGAATAAACAGACTGTCCCCCTACCATGCATGATGTGTTATATGAATAAACAGACTGTCCCCCTGCCATGCATGATGTGTTATATGAATAAACAGACTGTCCCCCTGCCATGCATGATGTGTTATATGAATAAACAGACTGTCCCCCTGCCATGCAT